ATAGATAACAAATTACTTATTTCACAATCACCTATTAAAATGAACACAAAAAAAATGAGGCTCATGGTGCTTGGACTGCTATCACTTACTGCATTTGTATAGTTGACATACAGATTATTTATTTTTCATTTAGAAAAATACCCATGCCTGAATTCTGTAGTTGGTGTTTTGATATCAGTAAGTTATCTTTGGCTGCTTTTCTTCTCCAGTCACATCCAACCTGTTGTGGTCCTGACTTGACCTGGCACCTCTTTAACACCACTGGGCACAGCCCTCTATCTCATCATTTCCTCCAGAGCTGCAATGCTGAACCATGGTCTGGACAGGACATCTTGATACACAGAAGGGAGATCTCTAATCCTATAACATATCTGTAATGATTAACTCAAGATAAATTAGAGGTAGCAAAATCTGTGTCGTTTTAATGCAGGATCACTCTCAACGGTGTAGTATTGAGTATTTTGTCAAGGCTTTGCCTAAGGATCTGAAGACTGGGACAGAGCCATCACTCAGTCTCACAGTACCATATCAATTCCTTCCAGTAATTCCATTTTAACAATGGAGCCCTCTTGTTGCTCCAGTCTGAATGATGAAGCTTAGCTGGTCTGATATTTTGCCAGTCCTATCCTGACACCCATTGTAAGCATACAGCTTTTGCAGTTCATCTTAGTTCTGACCAAAGAGAAGGAAAACATAGGCAAGGTTGTTTCCTTTATGTAAAACTTAAAGCCTATGCCAACATATGCAGAGTTTCAGGCATATTCACAAGATGGACACGACATTCAAAGAAGTGTGCCAGAGGCACTGCAGATAAATGAGGGATTTGGACCAGAAGCGGCAGAAAGATAAGCAAGAATTCCTTAAGTACAAAAAATTTGTGTGGATTCATCCTACTGTGTTCTGATAACCTGAATTCAGTTCTGCTATTCTTCTCGTTTGCTAGAGGTATAATCCACTAGTTAACAGGGGTTTTCAGAAGAGCTTTCGGGCATGGAGAAAGAGGAGCAAGCTGTGATGTGCAGAGTTAATTAGTACAAAATCCATGGGGCCCATTAAAGCACATTAAAGGCCTTTCCCTGAGACTGACTGAGGTGGAATCTGTTTGCCTGGTGCTTCCTCGCAGAAAAGGTTTTGGCAGATTTTGGTTTGGAAGCAGTAACGGTTAATTCTGATGTGACTGAGGGAGTAGCTAAAGTCAGCTATCAATACAAGGCTATCGTGTTTTGTGGATTTGGGTAATTTGGGGGATATAATAGCTAATGTAACTTCCAAAGTGATGCTGGACTTTTACTCTATATTCCTTTGCTGTAGGAGACAAAGTTTTTACCTTGTTAATACTTGGATTGCCTTTGAAATATTCAGTGTTCTTTCTTTCTCTCACTTCCCCTCTCTACCCCCCAATATGTATTTTCAACTTCATAGAGGAAAAAAACCCAACCAAACAATTGCTGCTAGAGAAGAGAGAGCTGAAGAATATGAAGAAATTGCTGCATCTTTGCCCAGAAGCATTCTGCAATTCTGGGAAGATTTCAGGTGTGTCGCAGTTTTAGTCTGGGACCAACTGTAAGTGAAATGAATTCCTATGGAAACCAGAAGGCATAGTTCTTCCAAAACAATTCAGACATGTACACTCATATCCCAGGCTGAATCTTCATCTGTTATATTCTGGAAGGCCAAATATTTGATTATTCTGTCCTGGTTAAGAACAGGCGAACTGCCAACTTGAAAGTTCAGAGAAGGCATTAGCTTGTATATTTGACTCTAGTCCATTTGATCCACATAAATCTGAATCAAAACCAGCCAACCAAAAAAACCCCACATGATTTCCCTACTGCAGCCATGGATTAAAATGGTTTGTGAGGATGAAAAAATCAGCTGTATACTTAGTGTTCTTATGGTAATGGTTTGACTTGGGTCTTGTCTTGGCTGAACTGGTATAAGATCTCAAGTGAGAGGAAATACAGGTGACAGTGGTGTATCTCATTGCGAGCGCCTCTTCTGCAGCTGGAGGTGCACTGGTCAGCAGCAGAACCTGTAAGAGGGAAGGAGCAGACTCTGGGATGCCTTGACTCACTTGGCTGGTGTGTAATGTGATGGGTTATGGGGGGTTATTGCACAATGCCAGCTGGAAGCTGAACGAGCAGTTAATGATCACACAACATTTTGAAGATGTAGAATGTAATCTGTTGCCCAAAGTAGCACTTTGGGGTGGCAAATGATTTTCAAATTCTGTGCATTCATTGACCCCTCTGAGAGCTATTTTACGAACTAGAAGGATAATGGAGGGAAGGTTATTTACAGAGGCATTAGCTGCTGCAGAGCTGTTCAGCAGCACCAGAAGGATCACTCTCTGCATGTGCATTCTATTCCGGAATAAAAGCATACTTTGTGAAGGAATTCATCTTTAAAGGGCTGTCTGCCTAAGTGCTCTTCTGGAGTAGCTCTTGTGGAATAATGCAGTTTTCAAAAGCAGTGCCAGCCGGTTCCTCCATATAGACAAAGCCTTGGGCACCCAGAATTAGACTTTGGGTACTTAGGGAGATCACTTGATGTCTTGATTGGAGACCCTGTGAGCACTCCTGTGGTGTGCTGATGATGGTTAGGGGCTGTGGGTTTTGTTGTTTGGTTTCCTGACTTGGCCAGCATGACGACACCCGGGTGCACTCTTAACCTCCCACAGGCGGCAGGTGAGGAATTTTTCACAAGCACCTTGAAACAGGCTGAGATGCTGCTCCCATCCCTTCTGCCGTTTGAAACCCCCCACCCACCGGGGCAGTGACCCTGAGGGGCAGCCAGCAACTCCTGCTCACAGCAGTATGCTGACATCTTCTTTATGTGCAGTCCTGTACCAACTCTGCTACCAAAGGTGAGCTAAAACAGCTGATTCCTTTCCAAATACTGTCTCCAAGAAGACCGCAGAACTCTTGTAGAAGTGTTCGTATCCTAAAAAGCACCTTTTCCATCCTTTTAAAATGGCAGATTAAGTCATGTGTATGACTCAGCCTCATTTTCTTGTCCTGTGACTTTAGGCAAGTCACTTCTTTTCCAGCTTTCTGACTGGTTTTGGCTATCCAATCCAAAAATGCCGTGTGCTTTGTTTAGGAAGATGTGTGTGTGGCACCCTGAAAAAATAAGGCTGAGCTGTGTTGAACTGAATGCCCTCCAAACCCAATGCCACTCTGCGTTTTTAATTAAGCCTTTGCCAGCTGTAAAATAAGGGTAATACAATATTCCTTAGAGATGGCAAATACATTAGTTGATAAATTTTAGAAGATAAAGTGATTGAAGGCAATAATTCAACTGTATTTCAGCGCGGGGGTGGGTGAGGAAAGGGACAGTCCTCATTCCTGTCAGGAGCCTGCGCGCCTCCCTCACGGCGGTCTGGCTTCCAGCGCGAGCGGGCGGGCGGCTAACGGCCACCTCGTTTTGGCGGGAGGGCAGGTGTCCCCGCCCCCCCGCTCCGGCGGGAAAACCTCCGGGTCCGTTCCCTCAGGAGGAGGCGGGCTGGCTGGCTGGCACTGCAGCCCGGGCTGGTTTAGGGAGCTCCGAGCCTTACATGCTGGGGTACCGTAACCACTCGCAGACCCCCACTCCCGGAGATGCCCGGGGATGAGCTGTGGTTTAATTGTTGTTGTAATTCTGACGGGGAACTTTGGTGCTCCACGGGGGAGGGAAATTCTGCAGTGCCTCAGCCTTTGGGAACAGAAATTTGCATCCCCTGAAAAGGCAGCTGGCAAGGAAAAGCCAAATAAATCTGTGTGTTGATATACGATGAATCATTTATTTTCCTCTGAGTTAATAGGCGTGGAATTCCACCACGGTGCCCCTCGGGGCAGGTCAGCTAGCCTCCTGCCCCTAACACAGGGCCCAAACTCCAGTCAAGTCAGCTGGGATGTTTCTGTCAGTTCAAAACCAGCTGATTAAACCCAAGGCTACGTGCTGGGGCCAGGTCCCTGTCACACCGACGGTCTTCATCTGTTGAAAGGTGTGCAGCATGCAGGTCTTGCTCATGTATCCTAATGAACAGCTGCCAGGGTGATAACAGGAGGGTCGGGGCACCCGAGGTGGCACAAAAGTGTTGTGTTTCCTCACAAAGGTCCTCGTTTCTTCATGGATTTGCTGTGTTGTTTCAGACTTTCACCCTTTTATCTGCTTCATTGCAGGCAGTGGCGACTGAAATCCTCTGGGTCTTTGGTGCGCCAATACACCAGCAACAGGAGGACCCTCCACTAAACAGGAGGATTTTTTTCATCCCTAAAGCTTTTAGTAGGGTGTGGTATAATTTCTTCGTTTTTCCCTCGTACTGTGCAGGAAGGCACAGGTCTGGGTCTGCCTTGTTTTTCTGCTGTGAGATGCCAATTGCCTAAGGATGGGGAGTAGGAGAACGATCCCATGACCTGTTCAGCTGTGCTTGGAGTGCAGGATTATGTGCATTTCAGGAGGATATTTTTAATGAAGAAGGGAATTGTAATACAGTTGTAATGCCTTTTGTGTTACTTGTTTTTCTTCCTTCAGTATTTGAAGCTTAAGGGGTTTTTAAAATCTCTTCAAGTATTTTTTAATCAGTGTTTTACTGTAATTATTCTTCTGATTGATATTAGGCATGATGCAAAGGCATGATTTCTCATTCCACGATTGTCAGGGTTCTGAAATAGAAATGAAATATGTCCTGACACTATCAGAAACAACTGATTTTGTAGGAATATTTCCATTAAATACTAACTAAAGTGACTCCATCATATTTTGACTCCAAAACGAAATGAGATCATTCTAAAATTATAATATTTTCTTTCTCACTTCTCCCAGCCTCTGTATACACAAGATTCTTGCAAGCAAGTTAGGCAGACCTTAAGTATCCATTTAGAAGCTGAAAAAAACTGTTTATTTGCAGATATTTATTTATTGCAGATATTTATTTATTGCAGATATTTGCCACCCCAACACTATCTTTGTTTGCATTTCCCAGTAGCAATCAATACTTTACTGCCTGCTCTTTCACGATGAAGGCCATGGAGGATCAAGTAGTCCAAGAAGAACCAGGATACCAGGATGATGAGGTAAATTTATGGTTGATTGAAAAAAATATGCAGCATATTTGAAGGTATTTTGATAATGTTACAAAATCCATGGAGGGACAGGAGGTCCCCAAAGGCCATCAGGGAGTTCAATGCATTTAAAATCTTCTTCCAGTCTAATACCAAGAAAATCTAATTCTCTTAGTCCCTGTGCAGCCTTGCTCTTCAAGTACTCTTCATTAACCTTTCAAAAGCTATGCACAGTTTTTAATGGGATTATCATTATTTCTTTATATTTTACACTTCTATATTAACTGCAAGGGGACTATCAGTTAATTTTATGTTTCCAAGGATGATCATCAGCTTAAAAAGATTGAGGAACTGTGGCAGAAAAAAATCAAGATGATGATGATCTTAATACAAGTTTTGTTAGCGCAGCACAGGATTGCTTACTTGTGAAGATACGTTTTATGAAGAAGGTGATAGAAAATGTGTAGGCCTTGTTGGCCCACTATGGCTTTGCTTATTTGGGTAGTCCAACAAGTTATGTATTATTAGGGAAAATAATTTTTACAAATTTGAAACAGACACATAGATAGATGTAATTACAAGAAAAGGCAAAATCTATTTTTATTGTTTTCTGCTGGTTTTTTTTTTTAGGAATCCTTTTTTCAGGATATTGACCTGCTGCAGAAGCATGGAATTGTAAGTATTAGCATTGACTTTACTGCACAGAATTGTCTATGAAAAGCTATTGTAAGGTTATTTCCAAAAGCGTGTACACGTGGATACAAATAACTGAAATTCCTCCTCGCAATAAATTCTAAATCAGTCTTGTGAAGACAAATTTTGCCTTTGGTGATAAGACGGGTTTTCAGAAACTCTCATTCCCATCAGATTCCTAAATAAAGTGCCAAGATATTCAAAGTATTTAGCACCCAACACTCTTGAAAAACCAACTACTTGCTAATTTATTTGAAAACTGTGTGATAGATTACTTCCTGTTCCTGCCAATCTTTGTAATTACTCCTGCATTTTTGGTGCCTGTGAAATTACACTGTGACAATCGTTGCTATACTATTTTCAGCGTGCTGGTGAAGGGGGTAGAGTGGGAGTAAGGAAAATATTGGTAGCTAGAGAAATAAGTGCTTAGTTTTCCTCATCAAATATGAATTCCTATAGTTGTTACCATCATTCTTAGCATATGAACATCACCTATTTATTTGAATTACTATTATTATATTTTTAGCCAGGAGACTGGCTCATGGATTGGAACCCTATTGCATTCAGTGTTGTAGAAGCAGAACAAAATGTTGGGTTTGACTGAAGTAATGCAAGATTTAACTCTAATATAAATGACTACTGACGGATACAAATGGGGAGGACACAGACAGCATTAGTCAGCATTATAGTTACTGGGCTCAGCATGTCAGCAGTGTAATTGTTGTCAGCTTTTTTTTATTGGCAGTTCATTGATGGTTTTAAAGAGAGTTCTGAAGAAGGATCATGAGGTTGGGAGCTCTAACTATGGGGCAACATAGGAAAAATACACAAATTCTTGTGTTAAAAATTTAACAAGTTGACCAAAGAGGCTGACCTCATGAGCTGGAAGGGAGCTGTCCTAGCCTGTCAATATTAAGTGAGGCATGGTATGCAGAGAATGATACTAAGGTGTGAAAGATCTTGAAAGTAAAGAATAATGACTTGGCCTGCTTTTCTGGCTTAATAAGGGTTTCCTGCTCTTTTTTTTTTAATTTTTTTTTTCCTTCCTTCCAAGTGGTTATTCCCATACCCCAGGGGAAATTTTTGTTCTCAGCTGTGCCAGTTAAAATCTTTGTGTGAACATATGATGACCCATATCTGTTAAATTCATTTGCGTAAAGAAATAGTTTTTGTGGGTTTAGAATTTTTTTTCCTAGGAGTATAGAGAGAAATACTTACTAGATCTGACAGTGTGGCCACAAAGAGAGTGAGATTAGCACAACCAAGGCTGTGGTTTGATGTTCAAAGTGTTTGGTAGGAATTAAGGTGCTGTGACCCTGCAGCCTTTGCTGAGTGTTTATGCCCCTAGAGTTTTGTAGCCACCCTGTGAACTGGATTTGTGAATCAATTAGTCCAAAAATTGTCACAACAAAAAATGTGGTTTAGTTTTTTTATTTGTAAATTCTCAGTCTGCTCCCTTTTCCACCTCAGAGGCACACAACTGGGACAGGGCTGCAACATAAGGCAGAGGATTAGGCCATGCAGCTGGTGTAAGTGGGCAGGTGTGTCAGTGCGTTAAGCCAGGAGTACTGCTCAGTGCATCATAGTGTTGAGCTTTAGTCTAAGGAGGCGCAAATCCTAGGACCTTGGTTGGTACATAAACTGTTGGTGAAAGGTGTATCTGTGCAGGAGAGAACAAGAACTTCTATAACCAGGTCTACCACACACAGACTTGTAATGCAGAACAGCCTTAAGTTTGATGTGAGCCGCTGAAGAAATGTAGAAGCAGGGTAATGCATTTAAAGTTTTGGTCTAGAAAAATGATCTTTGCAGCATAGTCTGTTGTCTTGATAGAAAAACATGGTAAAACAGCTCAATCCTTTTTATATTACTGATTGCTATATTCTTTTGGGCGGAAGAGTAATTTTTATTCGTGACTGATTTTACCTCACCCATCCCTGTTAATGTAATAACCAAAAAACATCATAGGATGAGAAATAAGCTTCCAAATGAACATGACTAATTTCTTGCATAACCCCCCTCCCTTCTTATGTCCTATGCACCCACACGTTCTAGATAAATAGATGATACATGCAGTTCATAGGGGTTTTTTTCAGAGAAAAATCTTGGCTGGAAATGGTAAATTGAAGTATTATCCCACAACTTTCACATAGTATGTTTTCTTATGAGTAATCTGTTGCTTGCCTTTAAGTTTCCAGTGACGTCAGAATCATAAAACGAGGTGAGGGGAGGCAAAATGTGTCAGTAGGGCGCTGATTGAAGTCATGCTGTACACAATTTACAAAAAACTTGAGTAGTTCATTCCAGCCCAAAGTGTCGATCAGATCTAGAGGATACGTGTATTTTAAACTGAACGTACTGCAAACAGACAGAAACAGCACAGCAGTTAGAGTCAGCTTCTGACAATCCTTGCAAGTCAGCTCCCCATTATCCACAATCAGATTATCTGGTTTACAGATTATCTGGGCTAAGGGACCAAGGACAGATTGAGTGTTATAGGGTTTACTAGGTTGGGCTCCACACTAGCTGAAATAATCCATACTGTTTCTTTACTATCAGCTTGGATCTAGAAAGACTGACACTAAACAGGGACAAGTAAATACAACTGGACCCAAGACACCTTTCTCTCAAAAGTGCCAGGATCTGGTCTGTGCACCGTGATCCTTCACACCAATGTTACTCAAAATTTTCTGTTGTTGGTGTCACAAACTACATAATAAAGAGTTTACTGTAAATCTGTTTCTTTCTTGGTGAAAATACACATGCATATGAATGTATAATAAAATATGTTTCAAAGGTTTACTTCACCTTCTAGTTGTTAACTGTCACGAATACTCACAGGAGGGAACTTTCTTCACAGAACGTAGCAGATATTAAAAAACTTAAGTCAGTTGGGATCTGCACGATCAAAGGAATCCAGATGACCACAAGACGGGCACTGTGCAATGTAAAAGGGCTTTCAGAGGCCAAAGTGGACAAGATTAAAGAAGCCGCAAACAAGCTTATTGTAAGCCAGTCACTTTCCTGATAGTTTAAACTTATGCTGGCCTCTCCAAAATGCTGTGCAACATTTCTCTTAACAGATTTTTTTTCACCACATCATCAAGATAATTTTGAAAATTACTCTGCTTGTTACGCTAAAGGGATAATACTTTATACTCTACAACTAGCAGACAAGTGCTGTGGTGCTTTTCATACCCTATCTGTGTAAAGGAGGCTAGGGTGGAGAGAAGATATTTATGTGGGATATTGCACTTTACCTTCAGGTTAAAGTTAAAATAAACCTCTCATGTTCTCTTTGGTCTTCCTTAGGAACCAGGCTTCCTGACCGCCTTTGAGTACAGTGAAAAACGGAAGATGGTATTCCATATTACTACTGGCAGCCAGGAATTTGAGTAAGCTTCTCTCTACTTAAATCCTTCCTTAGTCCAAATCATTCCAATAATCACGTTTATTGTCTTTAATGAGACACAAAAATATAAAGGATAAATATTCAGCTAGGACACACAGGTTACCTTGCATTTGGAGCTAGTGCTGGCTCAAAGATGCCTGCACCAGTAAGCAACAAAACCAGCTCCTTTTCTGAGGGGAAACTGGACTTTGTACAGTCATTGTAAATAAACAGAGTTTGCATCCAGAAATCCTGAACGTGTCATCATTTTTTTCACCTAGTCAAAACAACCTGCAGGTCTTGGGTCAAAATGAAAAGTCTTCAAGACTTATATCCTTTGAGATATTTTTATGGAATGTTATCTTTTCAAAGGTATTTTCTCTCTTCTTTCTTTCCAGTAATAATTTCTATAGATCTTTCTTTTGCACACAGGAAGGGAGGTTAAGACAGAGTTAATTCTTTATGAATCAGTGATCATTTAGTGCCCTGCACTTAATGCATCAAGTGAGGGACTTTAGGGGAGAAATTACTTTTCTTAAAGTAGCAAAAATTTCTCTTTTTTACTTTCCTCCTGTGATTTTGTGGGTTTAACTACATTGTAATCCTCTCTCTCTCTCTCTCCAGTAAACTTCTGGGTGGTGGGATTGAAAGCATGGCAATCACTGAGGCCTTTGGAGGTGAGAAAACCACATTAAATGAGTATTACTGAACAAAGAATTGCAACTTAGATTTTTAAATCAAGCTGGATTACTTCTATCAAACTTATCACATTGAAGTCATAAAGATGAGTACCTGCATGAGGGTAAGAAGAAAGAATCCTCTTCTCTTCATGTTTTCCCATTTTTCCTCTTCATTTGCTTGCAGACTAAGTTTGACCTGAGTAATCTTTAGACTTGGGGCATGCTGATTCAGTACAACATAGCGTTATTAATACTATTATTAATGTGTCATATACGAAAGAGAGATCCCTGATGCAATCTGTGTTCATTTCCAGTAACAAAACTGCCAGAAAAGGTATTTTATTTATGCACACTTAGAGTACCTTGCATTTCATATAACATTTTGAAATTACAATTAAGCTACTATTATAGTAAAATTGATCAGTTGGTGGTTAACACTTCAACAACAATAACAGTTCATAAAACACAGTACTCTTCCCTTTAGAAAAGATAAACTGGAGACTAACATGATTTGATATAGTGAGATTAATAAACTCATAAGCTTCTCCTTGATCATTTTACTGAAAATGAAACTGGGCCAGGTCAGTGGCATCAACCACTTCTTTCCCCCTCCCCCTCAGTTAACATTTTTCCACAGGTGCCACATTGTTTTAACTTCCACACAGAAAAGAATAAATGATCTTAGCAGTTAAGCATGATCAAAATAATGCATTTCAGATTTTTGGTTTTCATGTAACATATTTCTACTGCACAGAATATGATTTATAAATTGGGGTTGAATTATTTTAAAAGGTAGAGATTGAGGTGAATTTTGTAAGTAAGAGTGTTTCTAACTGCAGTAACTCCTGAGTCTGGCAAACTCAGAAAAAGACACCCTGACCTTTTTTTTAAATCTTTTTATTTAACAGAGTTCCGGACAGGCAAAACCCAGCTATCTCACACCCTTTGTGGTAGGTGTAATACCTTAAAAGAGAGAGCCCTATTCTTTTCAGTAAATCCATTCTTTACAACTATATCAGAATTAAACACATAAAGACAAGTCAGAATCTTTTATCTTTAGAAATACAGTGAAACAGACCTTGGTGACTCTTACCTCCATTAATTGTGTTTGAGTAGAGAACTCATATAAATGATCACTTTTTAATACTGCTCACATCAATTTAAGTTTTGCCATAAGGAGAGAGAAGCTAATAGATTGTCTTAGAGAAACCAGTGAAACACACCATCTGGAAAAGCAGAGTACAAATATGGGTTACAGGTGGTCAGAAAAGGGCAAAGACAAGATTATTTCTCAGCAACTCTTTAATTTCCTGGTTTCAAGAGGTTTTGCTGAATATGACATTCTGAAAGGGCACTGAAAGGATACTAGTGGCTGACAGTAACTGGATGAACAAAGACTTTGGCAGTCACCGTATTCGGGTGGTGCCAAATACAGCAGGACTCTGATTTCCCAGCGATCTCTCTCAATGTGTAAATAGTAGTAAATAATAACTAATACAACTATTAATGCTGCTGGAATACAGTTACCAGACACGAGGTAGGCAAACATTCCCTTAAATGAACCCTATATTATAAAGGAAATTCTGGTACCTTCTGGAAAAATAAGCCTCTTCTGTTTAGTACAGTCTAATGGTCAGCAGAGTCATACCCTTTTGCATGAATGATTACAACTGAGTTGAGTATTTTAGCTTATTCACTCCAAAGGGACTAAACCCACAATCAGTAACTATTTGCATATCAGGAAAAACTAATAGCCAAAGAATTTTTTATCATGAGTTACAGCTGGAAAAAAACCCCTACTAAATCAATACCATTAATTTGGGGAGAGGATTAAGAGGATGCTTTGCGCCTAAGAACTTCTTAATAGTATCCTTACCTATTTTCAATATAAAATATACAGATTTAGTGATGGTACTGAGTAAAACACAATTTTGACACCATTAATTAACATGTGATCTCCAGCTGAGAAAAGTGGCTTGAGTTTCTTCTCAAGATGGCAGTAAGACTTAAGATACTCCCGATTTCCACATTAAAACAGGTCGTTCTTTGTGATATGGATAAGCAGTCATATTTTATTAAAAAATAATAATAGAGGGAGTAAGAAAATATTTTTCCTGCTTTTTCATTTTGATCTTCTATGATTCACTGTAGTGACAGCTCAGCTTCCAGGACCCAATGGCTACACAGGTGGAAAGATTATCTTCATTGACACTGAAAACACTTTGTATCTTTTGGACTGTTGAAAGCTACTGGTACCCTGCACTGGAAAGGCAGTTCATTTAGGCTCTTCCTACATGTAAAATATTATGACTGACACAGAAAGCCTGGAGAGCACAATGTGTAGTGGCCCACAGAGCAGTGACTTTTTTTTCTGTCATTTGATGTAATCCAACCTGGTAAAATTAAGAGTTAGGATACAGATTTTATTTTAACTGTTTTTTTGAGATCTAATATGTCTCCAACAGATGACAAAAGCTTTTCTATTTGCTTCAAGAGAAATTCATCTAAGTACTAAACACTATTTTTAACACTTCATATCTGTGGTAGACTGTGTACAAATAGGTTTTGCTCATGGCTAAATTCCTTGAGCACAGATATCTGTATGTCAACCCCCCAGCCCCACCTCAAACCCTGAACACAAAACAATTATCGTGAGCCCTAAACTGTCTTTAACGTATGTGGGACAGAGTGAAGAGAAAAAGTCAGTTTTCTCTAGGATCAAAATAAATATTATTCTTTTTTTTCCCCCATAGTTCTATTTGGAATGGAGTTTTATTATTTTCAGAGCATAGTTGTACAAATGGAAATCCTTAACTTTGACTGATGTCAGCCGACCAGACCGTCTTCGTGACATTGCTGATCGCTTCAATGTTGACCACGATGCAGTACTTGACAACGTGCTGTACGCACGTGCATATACTAGTAAGACCATCACTGCAACTGGCATATCTATGTTTTTTCTCCAAGGCTCCCATCTTAACAGTTCTCAGTTTATTAACTGAGATGGCCCACTTTGAGGATCATAAAGAAAGTTTTGCTGCTAACAAAAGAAGTTGTAAGCTTGCTTCCGTTTTCTGTTTCTGGTGTTGTACACTGAGCAGACTTGCTCAGTGTAAGTATTCCAGCTCAGCTGCACTACATAAAGTTTTGCAGTTTGCCACATTAAGTGAACTCTGCCATGTATATGACGAGGGTCAGCGTAGCATCTTAGTAAGAGAAGCACCAATTAATGTAACCACGATTGCCTGAATGCAAATTAATTCTATAGATGCTGTTGAGAAATTCTCTATGATCTTGTGAATGGAACTTTATAAGGACAGCTCCAACATGCTCTGTCACAAGGGGTTGCATTAAAACTTCAAGGACGTTTTAAATGAGACTTTTACTTTGAGAGTACAGTACGAACATGAATAATATGACTAATACAATTTCCATGTGTCATTTAATTCAACATGAAATTCAGACATTTATATTGCTTTTCACTTCTTAACAAAAAAGTTGTCTTCATGCATTTATTATTATTGTCATTTCATTATTATTATTATCATTATTAGTTTCTTCCTTTCTGTCCTATTAAACTGTCTTTGTCTCAACCCATGAGTTTTACTTTTTTCCCTGATTATGTCCCCCATCCCACGGGGTGGGGGGCAGTGAGCGAGCAGCTGCGTGGTGCTTAGTTGCTGGCTGGGGTTAAATCATGACAGTTGTGAAGTTTTTCACAGTTTTGTTAGCTGGGCAAGTGGAAATGGGAACCTGCAGAGGCACAAGCACTGTTAAGTATTGTTACAGGTAGCTTGCTACTGGGCACTGGATTTAAAACTGCTGGCAGTTTTAAAAATATAAGCAGTGCAGATGTTTAAAGTGGAATTTTAAAATTCAGGCTTTTGTTCCTTCAGAGCTCTTTCTGGTCCTAATTTCACTTGGCAACTGTACTTCCCACCAGGTGAACATCAGATGGAATTGCTTGACTATGTAGCAGCCAAATTCCATGAAGAAGCTGGTATCTTCAAGCTATTGGTACAAGAGTAATTTTTTTTTTTGTATGCTTACTGCTTTCAGAACAAGTTTTCCTATTTTCTTTCACTATATTTACTTATCTAGCATAATTACAATGCAGATCATTGACTCCATAATGGCACTTTTCCGTGTGGATTTCAGTGGTCGTGGAGAGTTGGCTGAACGACAACAGAAACTTGCTCAGATGCTGTCAAGGCTCCAAAAAATATCAGAAGGTAAGGGAAACATTGCAAAATTTGGAAAACATGGACTGGAGTTCCTGAAACAGTAGCTGTTGGTAGCGCAACCACCTCATAGTCCAAGTGTATTATCAATCAGGCATTGGCCCAGGAATATTTCCTCACTTTACACCTCTGTCAGTTACCAAAAAGATCAAACTGATAATATGTTATTTCAAGATGACAGATTAAGGAACCTTTAGAACTATTTAACATTTAGAGTTTTCCTAGAAACACTGTTGAGAGAAGTCTAAATGAGAGAACAGGTTGTAGAACTGGACAAATATCCAATAAGAGAAATTGTCTCTCCCAAATTTTGACAGCCTAAATATACAAGAAACATGAATAGAAAAAAGGATGAAGGCACAGAGATATAAAAAGCTGTGCCGATTGCCACATTCCCAGTACTTTGTGATGCTCTGAGGGATGAGGAAGGATGAAAAGGGTTCCTCCTCTTTAGAATGTCGCAGAAGTGTTGATGAGGAATGAGTAAATTTTTTTTCATGCAGTAAATTGAGGGGAAAAAAAAAAGGCAAACAGACAAAGGGAGGGAGAGGGGGCTGAGGGCAGAGAGCCAACAGAGAAGATGGGAACCAAGAAAGACTTGTTCAGTGGAATTCTGAAAAGTGGTCATTTTTGGTGTATTACAGCTGAAGTCAAACAGGAGCAAATTTAGGTTGTCTCCTGATTAACTCCAGCCATCAGACATAAAGAGTATTTTCTTCTCTTTCATTTGAGATTTGAAGTGCTTCAGTAGCAGCCTTGCTTTTACCATGGATGGGAGATTTTGGAATTCTTATTGGATATAGTCCACCCTCTTTGCATTGTTTTCTATTGCAGAATATAATGTGGCTGTGTTTGTGACCAACCAGATGACTGCTGATCCAGGAGCAACTATGACGTAAGATGCTTTTTCTCTCTCCTTTTTAAAAAATTTCTTCTCTTTTTTATTACACATGTAACAGAGATGAGAACTGAGATTGTATGGAGCAACACACACCGAAATGAAGGTTCAGATTGGTCATTGGTCCTTCTGGTATGATGAATCATTCATGGGTGACACCTATAGGTTTCCCTCAGTTTTCATAATGAGGTTTTTTATGTTTATCTGCTGCCTGGCATGATGGCTTCTTTCACTTGTGACTTGAATGAAGAGGACAAGCCATCAAAAGTATTGAAAAAGCACCCTATTTTCTTTTGGAGCAGCTTATATATGAAGTTTAAGGTGTGTATTTCTTGAGCCTCTTGAATTTAATGAGAGGAAAATTACGCCAGCATTGAACACTTGAACATTCTACCTTGAGGCAAGTGTGTTCAAAGTCCTTTTTTGATATATTTACCTGTGTATTATTCGTTACTGAGCTCAATATGCCCCATCTGACAATTAATCACAGTATTAACCTATGGAATTTGCACAGTGAATCATCACAACTTTCTTGCTAATGTAGCTTTCAGGTGGACCCAAAAAAGCCCATTGGGGGCCACATCCTTGCTCATGCTTCGACTACCAGGATTAGTTTGAGGAAAGGGAGAGGGGAGCTGCGTATTGCAAAGATATACGACAGGTAAATCACCTTTCCTTCACAGGAAGGAAGCTGTGTTAGGAACAGTCATAAGGTGATGGTTCATGGTACTGAAACTTAATAGCTTGATAGCCAATTCATGGTTTCAAACTAGCCACGTTTCTGGATGGTAAGTTGAGAGAAAATCGAAAAGGACAAACTAATGAACAGACTTAAAGTTGTCTTGCATGTAGCATACATTAAATTGCATAATCTTTCCTCATAAATCCTACTAGATGCCTATCTCTTAAAGACGACCATCAAATAGTTTGGTAAGACTGGTGGTCCCTTGGCAGGAAAATTCCAGAGCTGTTAAATTACTAAGTTTTGCTGACACAATTAGTATCACTTTACCTGGTAACCTGTGGCAGACACAAGTCATTAAAAATGTATTTGAAGTATTCCAGGTTGCTTACACTTACAACATTTTGCGGGCTGTTTCACAACTGCATGTAACATGGGGAAATCCACAAGTTTCTTGTTTCTTTTTTTCACAGCCCTGAGATGCCTGAGAACGAAGCCACATTTGCAATAACTGCTGGAGGGATTGGGGATGCCAAAGAATAGGCAGAAAACCTATGTAAATGTACAGCTGAAAACCACCTGGGCAGCTGGGATGAAGATTTGTGCAAGGTCACTGACTGCCCGCCTGCATTTTTATCTTTTGGGAACCATTTGAGATATTTTGGGAGAACATTGGGATGAACTCTGTACAGTTCAGTTTTATTGATCTGAATAGAATTTGGTTAATTTAGGGTCTTCATTTTTCAATTGGACTTTCAGCAGACAAAGATTTAAGAAATAAGCTTGTGAATTGTTCAAAGAATCCTTTTCCTATATTTTGTGAAAATCAAAGCTGTCCTTTCACATGAGATTAATAGTATTTTTTAGTTTCTTTCAAAGAGAGTGTCTATGTGGTAGAATTTAACTGCGAAAGGGAACAGAACTGGAATAAACTCAGTTATAAAATTGACATAAATAGATGGAAAAGGCAGTGGCAGGAGCAACGGCCCAAGAGCTTGATGAACTGTCATGTACTGTAGAGGAAAAAGTTACTTTAAAAATACATTTTTAGGCATTTTTATCTTGACTAGATAATTTTTGTATTTTTATTTAGCATTTTCTGCTTTTTGGGGAGAAGGTTTTAAAACTGTTCTTATTAAAGTTAAAAATAAAGATTATGAATTAGAACAGCACTCTGCTTATATTTGGGTGCTTCGAATCAAACCCTGCTCTCAATAATCTCACTGATCTTTCATGAGAGAAATAACCCAGATGCAACCCAACATTTTAAAACCTTTCATCTAGTTCTCTAAAGAAACAAACTTTATATAATTGCCTTGTCAGTCTCCTAATATAAGAAAATTAAAGATTATTATTAAATAATCAATATTATCAAAAAGCAGAAGAAAACAAAACCAGTGGCTAGATAGGGCAGAGAGGCTGATACCAGTACTTACGCTGAGGGAAAAGCATTTCCGACTCAGCTTGCTGAGGGAGCGTGCTGTCTGGCCAGCCAGCACAGGCATAGATCCGAACTAGCCAGAGATGTTTGTCACAGGGGGAGCAAAAGAAGAAGCTGGGAGTAAAGAGAGAAAGGGGGGGATCGGGGGACAAAATACCAATTCAGTTTGCGTTACCTCCAAGGCTCGTGGAATTGCTTGTTTTAAAATAAACCCAACAATTTATATCTTAGACACTTCAAGGGAAGGCCTTACTTTGTCCTCTTGTATAAAAATGCTAATTAGAATGGGTCTAACCGTGGTTAGATTTTTTCATTTAGCTTAACTAATGCATGTAAGACAACCTGAAGCAAAAAGGCAGTGATGACCAGAAATTCATCCAAGAAGTGCCTGACACTGTGGCGGCCCGGGTTTACCTTGTGACAGAGCTAGAGAGTTTGCCTTCTTTGAGTGGTTTCTTAACAGATCTTTGGTATTTTTCCTGAGGTAAAGCACTGCTTTTCACAGTGGAGAGAAGTCTAGAGAGACAAAGGCTGATTTTCGATCATCTGACAGCCCAGAAAGCACTGCTGATAGCGCAGCTGCGGTTTGGGTTAGACACATCACCCACCAGACACGGCTTCTTGTGCCAGGACGGACCGACTGCCTACTTGGTGGTAGCTGCTAGAAGCACAAAAGAACTTATGCTCTGTGCCACGTAACTGCCTCATGGCTTATTTTATTTTATAGCTAGGTGTTTCGGGTTGATTTGGGAAGTCAAAACACTAGCAGGCCATAAACATGGCGTCTACGCCCTGCCCGGCGTCCTTCCAGTACATTCCGTTGATCGCACGCAATAACACCACAGTGGGCAAAGGGGTGAATTCTTTTACTTTCTGGAGAGGTTGCCATGAACCTCCTGCAGCTGCAGAGTGGGGTGCGTGATCAGGGGTTACCGGCACGACCCGTTTTGGGGCCCGTTGTGCCATCTTCTCCCAGCCTTCTGGCACTGAGGCGAAAGCAAACATCATGGCTGCTGTCATTCCTGCTCCTGCCCCAGCGCCCTAGTAATCTGCCGGGGGGGGGGAGGAGGAAAAACCCCATCCCGCCGGACCCGTGCAGCCTCGCCACGAAGGCCCGAGGGGCCACGCCCCCCACCCCGGGCCGGGCCGGGTTCCCCCCCGCCGCCCCGCGCTCCCGTTATTGTCTCCTCGGCCCCGCTGCCACCCTCCACGGAGCCAGCGGGCGCGTAGGCGAAAGGCCATATTCTCCAAACCCGACTACGTAATCCTCCTACCCTCCGCCAACCCTGCCAGCACAACCCGCGGAAGAATTTTACGCAAAACGCACGGGCTCTTCCTGCCCTACGCCAGCCTCAATTACGCAACTGGCGTACGCCGTGTACTTACGTAACGTACGCCTCGGCCTAGGTTTTCCCTACCGTCTAGAAGGGGTTACAGGGTTGACTCTTTGCGTAGCAGACTTTGAGGAATAGGGAGAGCGTTCCTCTTCTCCCTCCCCTCCTCACGCGGGGGCCCGGCTCAAGTAAAGAACGCTACGAACCTTTCGTATCCTGCCTGCCGCGCGGAGCACTGTTTCGCGAACCGAGTTTAGAGCGTAGTTGGCTTCCGGGAATAGGCGTAGGTATTTTCGAGGGCCGCAGTTTGCGCAGCGCCGGGCCGCCCGTAACGTAACTGAAGCGGGTTGGGGCGGCGGCGGCCATTTTGTGCCGGGAGCCCGGAGGAAGAAGACGCTGGTGTCTCCACACTTCACGGGCCCTGGAGCCGACCGAGAGCCCCGCCGTTCCCTCCGCCGACGTCCAGCGGGTCTCTGACCCACTGACCACCTCTTCTCCTTTTGTATCCCACCAAAGAAGCGAGGTGGCGCAAAGCGATTCCTCCGAGACACAGCCGCCCCTGGCTGGACCGTCTCCCCGTACCCCCAGTCCCTCGCCGTCCCCACGGCCGGCGTTCCGCTGCCTTTCTCCCACCCCTCCGGGTGCGATGAGGGGCTTCGGGGACCGGGGCCGCGACCGAGACCGCGGCGGGTAAGGGGGGAGGGGCAGGCCGGGTCG